TGAGCTTCAATCCACCATTAATGAACCAAATCATGGCTTAGCTCTACAAATGAGGCATGAATTGTGCAAGAATGAGTTCTAAGACAACAACAAGGAGATGGATGTCCTACCTTAGTCTTGTGCTTAAGGTCTAGGAGCTCAAAGTAGCAATCAACACTTCAATCCTCAAGCAATTCCAAGCAATTCAAGATGAAAACCAACTCCTCAAGTCTCTCTCTCTCTAGGGTCGGTTGAGGCTCCTCTGCTGTCTCATGTTCAGTTCTTTCTGTGTGGAGAAATATTTCAAACTCTTATGGTCGGTGTATACTTCACATGTCACCCCGTACAGATAGTGACGCCAGATTTTCAGTGCAAATACTACTGCAGCAAGTTCCAGATCATGGGTCGGGTAATTCTTTTCATGTGGTCTCAGTTGTCGGGAAGCATAAGCTATAACCTTCCCATTCTGCATTAAAACACATCCCAAACCCTTATGAGAAGCATCACTAAATACAGTATAACCATCCGTACCTGAGGGTAAAGTCAAAACTGGTGCAGTCACAAGTCGAGTTTTCAACTCCTGGAAAGCAGATTCTCTTTGGTCGGTCCAGTCAAATGATGTCCCCTTTTGAGTTAACTGAGTCAATGGTAGGGCAATTTTGGAGAAATCTTTGACAAATCTTCTGTAATATCCAGCCAATCCCAAAAAGCTTCGGACTTCAGTCACATTTGTTGGTCTAGGCCAGTTCACTACAGCTTCAATTTTCTGTGGATCAACAGAAATCCCATCTTTGCTAACAATATGCCCCAAAAACATAACATGGTTAAGCCAAAACTCACATTTAGACAGCTTAGCATACAGTTTCTATTCCCTTAAGGTTTGTAGGGCAAGTCTCAGATGATGTTCATGTTCTTCTATACTCTTGGAGTAAATCAATATGTCATCAATAAATACAACAATAAAGTCATCAAGGTACGGTTTAAAAATTCTGTTCATGAGGTCCATAAATGCAGCAGGGGCATTCGTGACTCCAAAAGGCATAACTAAAAATTCATAATGTCCATACCTCGTTCTAAAAGCAGTTTTATCAATGTCTTCCGGTTTAACCTTCAGTTGATGATACCCCGATCTGAGATCAATCTTAGAAAATACTTAGGCACCCTGTAACTGATCAAATAAGTCATCAATACGTGGCAATGGGTATTTATTTTTCACAGTTACCTTGTTCAGTTCACGATAGTCAATGCACAGTCTTAGGGAGCCGTCTTTCTTCTTTACGAACAAAACAGGAGCCCCCCACGGCGAAGTGCTAGGCCTGATGAACTTCTTATCCAGCAGTTCCTGCAGTTGCACCTTCAGTTCTTTCAATTCAGTTGGAGCCATTCGGTACGGAGCTTTAGAAACCGGCTGTGTTCCGGGAATCACATCAACAGTAAATTCGGTAATGGGTATTTATTTTTCACAGTTACCTTGTTCAATTCATGGTAATCAATGCACAGTCTTAGTGAGCCATCTTTCTTCTTTACAAACAAAACAGGAGCGCCCCACGGCGAAGTGCTAGGCCTGATGAACTTCTTATCCAGCAGTTTCTACAGTTGCACCTTCAGTTCTTTCAGTTCAGTTGGGGCCATTCTGTAAGGAGCTTTCGATATCGGCTGTGTACCCGGAATCACATCAACGGTAAATTCAATCTCCCTGTCAATCAAATCCCCTGGCAGATCTTCTGGAAATACATCTGGGAATTCCCTAACTATGGGAATACAATTCACATCAGTTTTAACACTATCATCAGCAGACACAGTCAGCACAGAACACAGATATCCTTTACACCCCTTTCTAATTAGTTTAACAGCTTTCACTGACGAAATCAAATATGGAGGAGGTACTACTCCACTGCCATTAAACACAAATTCAGGCAAACCAGGTGGACGGAAAACAACTTGCTTGGTCACACAATCAATAGTGGCATGATATTTTTGTAACCAATCCATCCCCAATATTACGTCAAAATGATCAATGTTCAATGGTAGTAAATCAATAAACAGATGCATATCCCCAACAATGATTTCACATGCAGGGTACATATAAGCACATGTCATGGACCCTCCTACTGGTGATGACACGGCTAGCAGATAGTTCATGGGTTCTAAGGGTCTATTCAATTTCCGTGAGAAAGCATGCGATACATAAGAATGTGTAGACCCCGAATCAATTAATACATAAGCATTTTGTGTACAAATAGAGAGGATACCTGACACAACGGTCTCGGTATTCTGGACGTCTCCCGGTACTAGGGCGAACACTCGGCCCTGCCTCATAGGCTCTTTCCCGGTAGTTCTGGGGTTAGGCTTTGGTGCCACAGTTGATGCTGCTGCGCTTGGTGCAGCTTTACTACTGGCTTGTGGAGCAGAGGGGCAGTCTTTAACCATGTGGCCCACCTTGCCACACCTGTAACAGGCTCCAGATATTCTGTAGCAGACCCCCTTGTGCCTCTTGCCACACTCAGGACAGGGTGGTATGAACCCACTCCCTTGGCTGGGGCTAGTTGTCGACCCCGTATTCTGTTTCTTGTTGGCTGGGTTGTGCTTGCCTTTCTTAAATTTGAAACCCTGCCTTTTACCATGCCATTCAGTTGTTGGTGTCTCAGATTGTTTCACTGCTGCAATGTTCGACTCGGCCATCAATGCCCGGTCGAGAACACCCACAAAAGTCGGTAGTTTCAAAACATTTATCCGGTCAAGTATTGCCACATTAAGGCCACCTTCAAATTTTCTGGCCTTCTTATATTCAGTATCCACCATGTGCGGTGCATAACGGGCAAGTTCAGTAAATTTCGTCTCATATTCCGCAACAGTCATTGTGCCCTGCTTCAGCTGTTCAAATTCAGTCACTTTTCTATCCCTGACACACTGAGGGAAGTACTTTTCAAAGAAGGACTCCTTGAACTGAGCCCAAGTCATAACAGTATTTGTATCGCGGATCAACATCCACCACCTTCTAGCTTCTTCTTGTAAGGTGAAGGTAGCTAACAGTACCTTGTGTGCTTCAGAGCACGGGAACACCTCAAATAATTTCTCTGTCTCCAGAACCCACGCTTCAGCTTTTAACGGTTCGAGGCCTCCTTGAAAGGACGGCGGTTTCATTTTGCTGAATTTATGGGTGAGAGCAATAATATCCCCATCATTAGCATTCACATTCACATTTTGTTCCGGTACAACCGGAGGAGGTAGGGGCTGTTGATTCAGTTGTTGGTCCAGTCTTGCAGTTAGTCTAGCAGTTATCAGTTCTATCATTCTTTCCATTCTTTCCATTCTTGCCTCGGTAGATGAGGACTCAGGTTCATTTGCATTGTCCATTTCACTATAAGCAGTTATAACAGTTTTAAACATAAGCAGTCATTTGCTTAACAGTTTACCACATTAGCATGTATTCAGTCATATCATAACCACACACTTATCATGCTCATGAGATGCCCTAATAACTTTTCTAGGACACCCTATAGCTCATTTGGACACGTGTGTGCGGTATAACTCGTGGTAAGTATCGCTCTGATACCACTCTGTCACGACCCAAACCCGGCCCTATGGGTTTAGCACCGTAACCGGCCAGTAATCCGAGATTACCAAAGGCCTGCTTAACAGTAATACAGTAAAACAGAGTACAGGGCCTGGCAGAAGCCAATACAGTAAATAAATAGTGTCCATTGAGCTGTGACAGTCTGTATGCAAAAAGGCTTTTCATACATTCAACAAAAACAGTACAGAACAGTATACACAATATTCACATCCATTCAAACTAGGGACTCAACCCTACAAAATAGTACAGAAAACATTCCGTCTGTACAAAACAGTACGGCTATACAAAATTTACAGTCACACAGTACAGGGACCTAATCCCTGTATAACAGTACAGTA